AACAAAATTATTTTAGAAGAAGCCGAAGCCGATACCAACAAATTAGGTATTAATTTTGAACAATTTCGTTTTTTTGGAAATTTACACTGTTTTTTTTTTTTATTTTAGGGTAAGTAGATACCTCACCCTCACCTATATCATAAAATTAATAAGGTAGAAATTTCCCTGAGAGATAATTGAAACAAAAAACCCAAACTTCCTTCCAAGAATGTCTATTCTTGAAAGCAGGCAATAGTGTGTTCTTATGAGATCTATTGCTTTATCTTTGTCGGTGTTATGCGAATACAAATAAAACAGACAAAGACAGGACATCTCATTTGAACGCTGCTTCCCGGTTTCGAGAATAAGGAACCAGGCAGGAGAGATTTGGTAAATATATGTGTTTCGTTTGAGATTCTGGACCCTAAAACAGTATGTCCATATTTGTATTTTTTTTTCGACAAATAATTCAATAGGTATCTACTGGGATGATATTCCTTAATGTTATTGTCTCAATATTACCCAATAATGGGCCTATTATAATAACTGGCCTGCTCGCTCAATAGACCTTACCTCCACACTTTGGAAAGTTCTGCCAAAAAAATTGAAAAACTTGTTATATTTTTATCAATTCTTTGTTGATTATTCAAGTAGCTATGGGTTTTGAAAATTATAATAAATTTTAATTAAGTAAAATAATTAATTGTTTATAAAATCCAATAATTGATTTCAATTACTTTTATTCTTTTGTTTATAAATTGAATCAAACGATCCGTTACATTTTATTGCCTCATATCTACGCATTTATTTCATTTTAGATTGCTCAAATCAAATATTTACGGGTCCCACGGTGCGGATGTTATTATGGCCTCTATGAACCTTTTTATAGATAAAAATCGATCAATAATTAAAAGATAATAGTTTATCTATGTATACTTAGGTGAAGAATTATATATTGCAAAACTGTGGCACATCAGGAGTTGTAATCTAAGGTTTGAGGACCTCATAACTTCAATGTTTTTTTTTGTTTTCAAATTGTTGCAGATTCAGCTCTTATATCAATGTTCTATATAACTATTCTACAATATCAATAAACCGTGCCCTTAGTGAGGAGCTAAAGTCATGATCTTAATGCTTCTTTCAATCTGGTAGTCATCATCCATTCAATGTCTTCTATCTACCTATAGAAGTTTGGATTCAATTCCATCCATAATTTAACTACATACATAAGTAGGTATTACAAAATTAAGTTTTACATTATTTCAACTCGGGAAATTGGTTTAAACTACGCATATATTTCTCCACATTATATAAAATATAGTGTGAAGCAATAACTCGAAAAAGGAATCCTTATAGTCATATTGTTAGCCATATTTTATTACCTACTTTTTCAGGTTTCAAGTAAAAAGCTATTGTCCCTAAAAGCACCACCATAAACCAAAAAAAAAAAATCTCCCTTTTTATAAAATTCGGTCCCTTTTCTCATAAACCCCTAGTGTTAAGTAGATGCTTTACATGGTAGCCCAGGTAGTAAAATAAACAAAGGGTCATTCATACCAAATTCCTATATGGAAGGTCCAAGTTAAAATTACTTTTTACACAACTACTTACTATGTTGAAACCCTAGATATAGACAAAAGATCAACAGAGCATACGCCGCACTTTAGGAACCTACTCACTTCAAAAAAAATATATTTCAGCTTAAAAAAAAAGGTACTTTATTTTCAAGGGGCACACCATCTAGGAATTCTTCGCCAAAAATGTGGGGAATTTAAAGGAATTTGTGGGAAATTCAGGGGAATTTGTGGGGAATTTAAAAGAACTCATCGAAATTTACGAGAAGTTAAGGAATTCATAGGGAATTTGAAAGTATTTTTATGTGGAATTTGGGAGAATTTGTGAGGAATTTGAAGGAAATTGTAGGGTCATGACATCACTGAGGTTCACATTCTTATTATAAGAAATAGTAATACTTAAGTAAGTGTTGGACATTTTTATTAAAGAAATCCTCCCAAAATTACATTTCATGATTTACAGGTCCAAATTTAAAAAATTCAAAAGAATAATGAATACAGTTTTTGTAGGCTGTTTTCCAAAATTTTTCATGTTACTGTTTTTCACTGGAAAAATTTGAAACTTTGGGAAAATGAGCTTTGTACTCGTTTGTACCTTCCTCTCTACATGCAAAAAGTTTCAAAATTTTCCCTTCACTAGTTTTCCAGGAAAACTTTGAAATGTGTGAGACTGTATGTTCAACTAATTCAGTTTTTGTAGGTGGATTTCCAATATTCCTCATGTTGCTGTTTTCCACTGGAAAAATTCGAAATTTTGGGAAAATGATCTTCTCACTTTCTTCTTTACATGCAAAAAGGTACAAAATTTTCCCTTCACTAGTTTTCCAGGAAAACTTTGAAATATGTGAGACTATATTTTCAATTAATCCAGTTATTGTAAGTTAATTTCCAAGATTCCTCATGTAATTTTCTACTGGCAAAATTTGAAATTTTGGGAAAATGAGTTTCTCACCTTCCTCTTACACAAAAAGTTTCAAAATTTTCCCTTCACTAGTTTTCCATCAGCCTCTGACCTTCCTCTTCACATGTACAAAATTTCAAAATTTTCCCTTGATTAGTTTTCCAGGAAAACTTTGAAATATGTGAGACTGTATTTTCAATTTATTCGATTATTGTAGGTTGATTTCCAATATTCCTCATGTTGTTATTTTCTACTGGAAAAATTTGAAATTTTGGGAAAATCAGCCTTTAACCTTTCTACTCTTCATATGCAAAAAGTTTCAAATTTTTGCTTTCACTAGTTTTCCAGGAAAACTTTGAAATATGTGAGACTGTATTTTCAATTAATTCAGTTATTGTAGGTTGATTTCCAAGATTCCTCATGTTGTAATTTTCTAATGGAAAAATTTGAAATTCTGGGAAAATGAGCTTCTCACCTTCCTCTTTACATGCAAAAAGTTTCAAAATTTTCCCTTCGCTAGTTTTCCAGGAAAACTTTGAAATATTTGAGACTGTATTTTCAACTAATTCAGTTTTTGTAGGTTGATTTCCAAGATTCCTCATGTTGTTATTTTCCCTCGTATTTTCCACTAGAAAAATTTGAAATTTTAGAACTATGAGCTTCTCACCTTCCTCTTTACATGCAAAAAATTTCAAAATGTTCCCTTCTCTAGTTTTCCAGGAAAACTTTGAAATATGTGAGACTGTATTTTCAATTAATTAAGTTAATGGAGGTTGATTTCCAAGATTCCTCATGTTGTAATTTTCCACTGAAAAAATTTGAAATTCTGCGAAAATGAGTTTCTCACCTTCCTCTTTACATGCAAAGAGTTTCAAAATTTTCCCTTCACTAGTTTTCCAGGAAAACTTTGAAATGTGTGAGACTCTATTTTCAATTAATTCAGTTACTGTAGGTTGATTTCCAAGATTCCTCATGTTGTAATTTCCGACTGGAAAAATTTGAAATTTTGGGAAAATGAGCTTCTCACCTTCCTCTTCACTTACAAAAAATTTCAAAATTTTCCCTTTACTAGTTTTCCAGGAAAACTTTGAAATATGTAATTTTCTATTAGAAAAATTTGTAATTTTGGAAAAATGAGCTTCTAACCTTCCTCTTTACATTAAAAAAAGTTTTGAAATTTTCCCTTCACTAGTTTTCCAGGAAAACTTTGAAATATGTGAGACTGTATTTTCAATTAATTCACCTATTATAGGTTGATTTCCAAGATTCCTCATGTTATAATTTTCTCTTAGAAAAATTTGAAATTCTGGGAAAATGAGCTTCTCACCTTCCTCTTTACATGCAAAAAGTTTCAAAATTTTCCCTTCACTAGTTTTCCAGGAAAACTTTCAAATATGTGAGACTGTGTTTTTAATTAATTCAGTTATTATAGGTTGATTTCCAAGATTCCTCATGTTGTAATTTTCTACTGGAAAAATTTGAAATTATGGGAAAATGAGCTTCTCACCTTCCTCTTTACATGCAAAAAGTTTTAAAATTTTCCCTTCAGTAGTTTTCCAGGAAAACTTTGAAATATGTGAGACTGTATTTTGAACTAATTCAGTTTTTGGAGGTTGATTTCCAAGATTATTCATGTTGCTGTTTTCCACTTGTAAGAGACATTTGTATGAAATTTGAGAGGAGTTTGGAGGAATTTGTGAGAATTTGAAGGAATTCGCAGGGAATTTAGAGGAATTTGTGGGGTATTTCGAGAAGTTCATGGTGGGGTATTTGGAGGAATTTGTGATGGGGTATCTATGGAGGAATTTTCAGGAATTATGCGTAAAAAATTCCCTTTTCAGGAATTGTTTGCACCAATTCTGGGATGGTGGTTTACCCCTGCTTGTTTATTTTGTTTTGAAATTTGCCTGGTTAACAAATCAATCAATGTAGCAAAAATTATTGAGATTTATGAGTGAAGGGTAAAGAAGAGAAAAAAGTCTAAACTTCTTAGATGGGTGTAAAACCCTTTCAAACTCCATAAAGTAAATTATTGTGAGATTTGAAGACAAAATCTTTGAAAAAAGGACGTCAGGAAAATTCAAAAATTCTCTACTATAAGTCCAGATGTGATCAGCAGCAGTTTTAGGGCGAGATAACAAGATTTTACCATTTTTCAAGTTCTGAACTGGCCTGTTTTCAATTCTAAAAACTTTGAAAAATTGTATTTCGAAGTGGGTTGCAGATATTATTGGCATTGCGCTGAAATTTTCTGGAAATGCACAAATCTGGAAAAATCCTGCAAATTTTGCCTCATTTGGAATTAGTTTATAGTTCCAGAGATACAAATTGAATAAAGGTGCAAAATTAAGATTTCAACAAAGAAGCGACAAAATTGCAATATTTGATTAGTGATAATATATAGAAAATCTTTTACGAAATGTCAACATTAACATATGTACTTATTTGAACAAAATATTTCCAAACAAAAAGGCTTTTGTAGGTATTAATAACTTGTATAGTTAATTTGTTTAGAAATCGTCTGAAAAACTATATTTTCCACTTACCATTCGCATGATCCAAAATATGTTCCAAGCAATAACTAGTGGTTGGCAAAAGTAAATTGCTGGCATTGACCCACAAGCTACCGTTACTCATTAATTGCGCCTGATGCAACTTGCCGACCACGACTCGATCGCCGTCTTTTTTCGCTTCCGAAGAAGTCGCACAGCTCGGAAATCCGGCTCCGAGGCTCTTATCCTGGCCGACGTCGATGCTGTAACCTGGATCTTTGATGCTGATGCAAGAGGAATTCGTTTCCGAGAAAATCGCGTCTTTGCCGCAACATTTGTGCACTAGAACCGAAGTTATTCTTTCCGGGGAAATATTCGGACGGCAATAAATCGCGTAGTTGTAGTCCAAACAGTACTGGTCAGGTGCTATTTGTTTGTCGTATACCAAGCTTAATAGGGTACCGTTTATTAGTACTACGAAGTTTTTTACTTGAATGTCTTCGATTACTGTGTCCATGAGACATTGAGGTTGCAAGTTCGCTTTTATGGTCCATCTTTGAGGCAAATGGCCAATGAATGGAGTCAAGGTGCCGTTTAAGTAAACCCTCAAATCCCAGGAAGAGTTTTGAATTTTGATGCATTTATAGTCGGAGGTCAGGGTTTCGTTTATAGGGCAACACTTGGCGATTGTTACTGTTTTCTTTACTAATCGTCCACTGGCGCAATAACTATTCAATATCAACAATAATATAAAAACACTAAATATTGAAGTCATTTTTTATGTGAAATTTAATTAAAAAATCATCGTTCATTATATTTTATTAAAAAATTCCGCGGACTTCTGGTGCAAAATTTACCGGCGATGCCGTCCACGCGCGTCGAGTATCGCAACTGGCTCCTCTGCTTTGGTTAGTATAGTCTGTTTTCTTGGGGTTCGCCTTCTCCTTGAAGTAGTTTATTAACAGTTAGGCCGTCTCCGTGGACCATACGATTTATGTCTTGCCATTGGTAGGAGTGCGCAACCTACCTGCGGTACTACTCGAGTGAAAAGGTTGTCTAGAATTTCGGCTCAAAAAGTTGTCGTGGTGGTACTTTTTTAAGTAAATCAGTTCCTTAATCCCACACAGTAGGAAAAACAATTGAGTTGTGGTACCAATAATGCAACATTCACTGTTCCTTTATCGTTGTGGTCGTACTATAATGTCTTGTAACTCAAGAATTCCTTTTTTGCAATAGGAGGAGGCCGTGGCCGGTGGCCGTAACTTGGCGCTTGCAGTCTTATACAGGGTGGAACATTATGTTTCGATGCACATCATTGGTTTCTCAGATTCTGGGAAACGCCATTATATAAAAGATTTAACGATCATTTTGTGTTGAAATCTGAAGAATTCCAATTGGTTTCGGTATTGAGGAAATCCTTTGGAGAGAGTTTTTTTATTTTTTTTATACATACTATACAGGGCGAGTCAAGCCCAAAACTATAATAATTTGTTAGGTTTTTATTGTTTTGTCCCTCGTATTTCTAGTTGTTTTCTGTTACTTTGTGATTTTCCAAGTCCCAAAACCCAGTTGAAGTTACTCTGCTCAAATATCATGCAAGATATGATAATAAACTATGCACAAAAGAGATCTTCAAACTTGCTGAAACAGAATTTGATAAGACTTAAGTTTATTAGTAGGTAGGTAATCATTTTGACGGAAGGATATTTTAATAAAAATAAATAAACTAAAAGAGCGCAAATGGGTGGCATAAAATATACTTACTACTGGGTTTTTACTGTCTCAATGAAGTAAGAAAATTGATAGGTGGTTGGTTTGCTAATATTGTCCTTCTGTCGCTTAACTGTTTTAACTGGATAATAATGTACATACCTAATGTAATACATGTTTCATTTTCGCTTTGTCTTATGTAGGATTAAGCTCTACTTAAAACTGAATTTGTTTATCATATTCTAATCAACGATTCTTATTGCACCATTATTTTCATATACCTGGTTTTCATATTGTTTGCTTTAAATAACCTCGATGCTTTAATATGTTTATACTAACACCCCGTTCGCCAGTCTGTCAGGATGAGTTTTTCTTGATAAATAAATCAAATTTGACGTAAATCTGAAGCCCAGAAGTAGAATTCTAAACTTTCTTCCAAGTAAGCTAAAAATTCTTATAAAATTCATCTGAAACCACCTTTGAAACGGTCTGAAAAATACTAAAAGCGGCTCAAAACTTTCATGATTCATTAAATAAAGTGCTTTTAATAAATAAATCAGATTTGAAGTAAATATGAAGCGCAGAAGTAGAATTATGAACTATTGATGCTGAAAATCCTTGTAAAATTCATCTGAAACCATATGCACCTTTGAAATATTCTGAAAAATACTTGAAGCAGTCAGTGCGGCTCGAAACTTTCAGGATTTACTAATTGAAGCGTACCAGAAGTAGAATTATGAACTTTTTTCCAAGTTGATGCTGAAACTTCTTATAATGGGCGAGAGCAAACTTTTCTGAGTGCCTTTTTTTATAGAATCCGGCTCCAAATCTCAGAAGTTTGGGGAATCTCAAAGGACCCTTGGGACACAAAATCTCAACAAAAAAAAAAATTTGAAATTTCATCATTTCAGTACTAAGGTAGCTACTTTATTATTATTTAGATTTTGGAAAACTTTGAAAGATCATAAGTTTTTTTTTGTATTATAGATAGATAGCTGAAATTTTCAGCGATTCTTATCCCAATGGCAAACTACAATCCCTGAAAATTTCAGATCATTTGGACTTATATAATTTCCAGAAATAAAATCGTGCTAACACGATTTTATTTCTGGAACTATTTATTTAGGAACTATAAGTGCAAATGAGCTGAAATTTTTAGGGATTATAGTACTTTGAAAGAAATAAAATTCAGTAAAACGATGAAATTTCAATTTTTTTTTGTCAAGATTTTGTGTCCTAATGGTCCCTCGTGATACCCTGAACTCCATAAACTAAATTATTCTCAGATTTGAAGCGGAAATCTATGAAAAAAGGCACTCAGAAAAATTGAAAAATTGATAAATCACCACAATTGCTTAGCACGATTTTATCTCAGGAACTATAAGTGTCAATGCGTTGAAATTTTCAGGGATTGTAGTCCTTTGAAAAGGATAATTTTCAGTGAAAGATTCAGCTTTCTATCTATAATAGAAAAAAAGTTATGACTTTTCAAAATTTTCCAAAAAAATCATAAGGGGGGTACCTTCCTACTAAAACGATGAAATTTCAAATTTTTTTTTGTCGACATTTTGTGTCCTAATGGTCCCTCGTGATACCCTGAACTCCATAAACTAAATTATTCTCAGATTTGAAGCCAAAATCTATGAAAAAAGGCACTCAGAAAAATTGAAAAATTGATAAATCACCACAATTGCCTAGCACGATGTTATCTCAGGAACTATAAGTGTCAATGAGCTGAAATTTTCAGGGATTGTAGTCCTTTGAAAAGGATAATTTTCAGTGAAAGATTCAGCTTTCTATCTATAATAGAAAAAAAGTTATGACTTTTCAAAATTTTCCAAAAAAATCATAAGGGGGGTACCTTCCTACTAAAACGATGAAATTTCAAATTTTTTTTTGTCGACATTTTGTGTCCTAATGGTCCCTCGTGATACCCTGAACTCCATAAACTAAATTATTCTCAGATTTGAAGCCAAAATCTATGAAAAAAGGCACTCAGAAAAATTGAAAAATTGATAAATCACCACAATTGCTTAGCACGATTTTATCTCAGGAACTATAAGTGTCAATGCGTTGAAATTTTCAGGGATTGTAGTCCTTTGAAAAGGATAATTTTCAGTGAAAGATTCAGCTTTCTATCTATAATAGAAAAAAAGTTATGACTTTTCAAAATTTTCCAAAAAAATCATAAGGGGGGTACCTTCCTACTAAAACGATGAAATTTCAAATTTTTTTTTGTCGAGATTTTGTGTCCTAATGGTCCCTCGTGATACCCTGAACTCCATAAACTAAATTATTCTCAGATTTGAAGCCAAAATCTATGAAAAAAGGCACTCAGAAAAATTGAAAAATTGATAAATCACCACAATTGCCTAGCACGATGTTATCTCAGGAACTATAAGTGTCAATGAGGTGAAATTTTCAGGGATTGTAGTCCTTTGAAAAGGATAATTTTCAGTGAAAGATTCAGCTTTCTATCTATAATAGAAAAAAAGTTATGACTTTTCAAAATTTTCCAAAAAAATCATAAGGGGGGTACCTTCCTACTAAAACGATGAAATTTCAAATTTTTTTTTGTCGACATTTTGTGTCCTAATGGTCCCTCGTGATACCCTGAACTCCATAAACTAAATTATTCTCAGATTTGAAGCCAAAATCTATGAAAAAAGGCACTCAGAAAAATTGAAAAATTGATAAATCACCACAATTGCTTAGCACGATTTTATCTCAGGAACTATAAGTGTCAATGCGTTGAAATTTTCAGGGATTGTAGTCCTTTGAAAAGGATAATTTTCAGTGAAAGATTCAGCTTTCTATCTATAATAGAAAAAAAGTTATGACTTTTCAAAATTTTCCAAAAAAATCATAAGGGGGGTACCTTCCTACTAAAACGATGAAATTTCAAATTTTTTTTTGTCGAGATTTTGTGTCCTAATGGTCCCTCGTGATACCCTGAACTCCATAAACTAAATTATTCTCAGATTTGAAGCCAAAATCTATGAAAAAAGGCACTCAGAAAAATTGAAAAATTGATAAATCACCACAATTGCCTAGCACGATGTTATCTCAGGAACTATAAGTGTCAATGAGCTGAAATTTTCAGGGATTGTAGTCCTTTGAAAAGGATAATTTTCAGTGAAAGATTCAGCTTTCTATCTATAATAGAAAAAAAGTTATGACTTTTCAAAATTTTCCAAAAAAATCATAAGGGGGGTACCTTCCTACTAAAACGATGAAATTTCAAATTTTTTTTTGTCGACATTTTGTGTCCTAATGGTCCCTCGTGATACCCTGAACTCCATAAACTAAATTATTCTCAGATTTGAAGCCAAAATCTATGAAAAAAGGCACTCAGAAAAATTGAAAAATTGATAAATCACCACAATTGCCTAGCACGATGTTATCTCAGGAACTATAAGTGTCAATGAGCTGAAATTTTCAGGGATTGTAGTCCTTTGAAAAGGATAATTTTCAGTGAAAGATTCAGCTTTCTATCTATAATAGAAAAAAAGTTATGACTTTTCAAAATTTTCCAAAAAAATCATAAGGGGGGTACCTTCCTACTAAAACGATGAAATTTCAAATTTTTTTTTGTCGACATTTTGTGTCCTAATGGTCCCTCGTGATACCCTGAACTCCATAAACTAAATTATTCTCAGATTTGAAGCCAAAATCTATGAAAAAAGGCACTCAGAAAAATTGAAAAATTGATAAATCACCACAATTGCTTAGCACGATTTTATCTCAGGAACTATAAGTGTCAATGCGTTGAAATTTTCAGGGATTGTAGTCCTTTGAAAAGGATAATTTTCAGTGAAAGATTCAGCTTTCTATCTATAATAGAAAAAAAGTTATGACTTTTCAAAATTTTCCAAAAAAATCATAAGGGGGGTACCTTCCTACTAAAACGATGAAATTTCAAATTTTTTTTTGTCGAGATTTTGTGTCCTAATGGTCCCTCGTGATACCCTGAACTCCATAAACTAAATTATTCTCAGATTTGAAGCCAAAATCTATGAAAAAAGGCACTCAGAAAAATTGAAAAATTGATAAATCACCACAATTGCCTAGCACGATGTTATCTCAGGAACTATAAGTGTCAATGAGCTGAAATTTTCAGGGATTGTAGTCCTTTGAAAAGGATAATTTTCAGTGAAAGATTCAGCTTTCTATCTATAATAGAAAAAAAGTTATGACTTTTCAAAATTTTCCAAAAAAA